ACATATGTTAGATTTGACCACTTTCTAAATGGCATTGTGTAATGTTAGCAAGAGTTTTCAAGAAGTTTCCAAACGACTTCAACTCTGCAGTTATTACGGTTTAAGAAACTGTTTGGAAATAACAAATTATATATACTAGCCACATAAAGAAACTGTGCATTGTCAAAATATTATCCCAGTTGATAAGTACGATAACAATGTCAAAGGTACATATAAACTTTAATGGAGGGATCCTGAGACCATAACAAGTCGGGAGAATTTCAATTGAAAAGTCAATCACAATGACGTCACGAGTCCACAAGCGGGACAGGGGTCAAACGACCATGTCACAAGCTCAATAACGGGTATGTCCACCATCGGCATTGAGAAGAGCAGTGCATCGACGACGCATAGAACCTATCAAACGTGCAATGAAGGCTTGTGGGATGTCACGCCAGATTCTCTCAAGTTCTGTTGGAAGGTCAAGGACGTTATCTGGCGGATGAGGAAGACGGCATAGACGTCGATCCATCTCGTCCCAAACATGCTCTATCGGGGAGAGATCCGGTGATTTTGCAGGCCCAGGCAGTAAGTCAAAGTTGTGGTGTTGCAAGAAATCCATAGCAACCCTTGCCGTATGAGGGCGGGCATTGTCCTGTTGGAATGTTAACCCAGGGCCATGACGTTGCAGAAAAGGAATTGCCACAGGTCGAAGATTCTGATCCCTGTAGCCCACACCAGTTAAGTTGCCCTGAACAATCACCAAAGGAGTTCTTTGGCGTGCTGTTATTCCACCCCAAATCATCACGGAACCACCACCAAAGCGATTCCTCTCCAAGACACAGGCCTGTGCATAACGTTCTCCCACGCGTCTATAGGCACGTTGACGTCCATCACTATGGGAAATGTTAAACCTGGACTCATCTATAAAAACAACATTTCTCCACCAAAACAAGGGTCTGCGGACATGATTTCGGCACCACATTCGGCGAGTTTGTCGATGACGTTGTGTCAGGATAGGCCGTATGGCGGGACGTCGTGGTCTGATCCCGTGATGACGTAAACGTTGTCGAACTGTGTTGGGGTGGATACGGCGAATTCCTGGGATGGTTCGGGCAGTCATCACTGCAGTCTGAAACCTGTGGCGAAGATGGGTCACCCTTATCCATATATCCTGTCTTGGCGTTGTTACACGTGGACGTCCAGAACGTGGCCGATCGATGACGTCATTTGTGTTCTGGTAGCGTCTCACCAGTGCAGAAATGGTGTTCCGGTGGCAGTTGAAATGTGCAGCCACTTGTCGTTGAGACATTCCCCCCACGGACCATCCCAATGGCCTCATGACGTTGTGCAGACGTGTGCCCTGGCATGTTATGCGTTTCAATAGCCGTTTAATTGTTTGAACGATCGCAAGGGGCAGGGGTTGAGCTTTCCAAAGTGACAGTATTGTGTGGCATTCATTTGCTCTGTTTCTCTTTCCCGGAATGCACGTGCAACAACGTATAGCACGTCTCAAGGACGAACCCACTGACGTCACGGAACGAGGCACGTGCATGCATGTTGGATACATGTCACTAATCTCTGAGTTTAAATCCTTATGTGTCTACACAGGTTTGATTAATTTAGATTTTAAATTTTTGTATGCACAGTTTCTTTATGTGCCTAGTATATTTACCGCCACTTTGAACAGTACATGGATATCACGGGGTGGTAGTGTAAATAGTATATTACCGTTTCCGTGGATATAAACCTGGTATACAGTCTTAATGTATCCTCTACATCCGTCATAGGTGAATGCAGGTCCATTATATAACATCCAGTGTGTGGATAATGTAATCTGAATGAAATGATTAAAAATTATCATCAACCTTCACCGGCATATTTAGTTCCATGGATAACAGTCGCCATGTGGATACATTCTCAGTATGCAATGAATATGTGTATATATTTTTCACCAGTGCATGTTGCTCGTTTTAGTATACTCTGAAATACAAATTCAAAGAAATGAGAGGGGCGGTGGGGTAGCCTAGTGGTTCCCTCGCCAAGCTATAGATCCGGGTTCGATTCTCCACTTGGGTACAAAGTGTAAAGTCCATTTCTAGTGCATCGTGCCATGAGCCATTATTGGAATTTTGCTGAAAGCGGCGTAAAACTAACTCACTCAATTATTATACAAGTATGACTGTCATTCACTCACTCACTCCACTCTGCGTACACGTCAGCAGATGATCCTAAACCTTTACCTACACGATGTCCTCGTCCTTCAGATGCTGCTGTATGAGGAGACCAAGAAGGACATATACAAGAAGGACATCGAGGACACGTTCACGATGTGGCTTCCCGGTGGAGATGTCCCAAGTGCATGGCGTTCAGACTACAGTGGGGAGCGCTAAGATATGCTTGTTTGTAACATCATGTTTGTATGATCTGTGTTGCACAGATAGCGATCAGTTAAAGGACATAATATCTATCTCGCGCAGCGGGGCAGTTACAAATTGTTTATCGTTTCACAAATGCGTTTATTTAAGCGAAACCTAGATTTACAGTCGTATAGCAGAAGGTTTGAATAAACGTGAATATATTCGGTGTGGTATATCAATACACTAATTCCGTTTAAAGAGCCTCACCATTCAGTCACTCATGTCACTTCCAGCCAACACGGCTTTCATCGCCCTCGTCGCCGCGGACAACGGCCTCCACACAGAGGAATACCGGAAGTTGGCGATGTCGCAGTTGCATTACGCCTACGGAGACACCGGAAGGAGCTATATTGTCGGATTTGGTGTCAACCCTCCCGTGAAGCCACATGACCGAGCGAAGTTTGTACATTCTCAGTGTTCATTGTATATATGTATACTTGTTCTCGTGACTGTATGTCTGAAACATGAATGTATGGTTTGGGAATGCAACAAACTTCCACATTAATCACAAACTTCATCATCACGTATAAAAATGTTGTCGTATAACAATATTGTTCACCTGGCTGGTCACTTCTTGAAAATGAAAGTTTATAGGAATTTTTTGACATTTTATATTATGATATGGACGTGTCTATCTGCTACATGCAAGTTTTCCATGCTTCCTTCAACCAGTTCCTGTCCGATGCTGCCGGCGCCATGTGGATGGGACGCCCAGCTTAACAAAGGCCCTAACCCACACACCCTGTACGGCGCCATGGTGGGCGGCCCAGGTCAGGGCGACGACTACACCGACAGCAGAATGGACTACGTGAAGAACGAGGTGGCGTGCGACTACAACGCCGGCATGCACGCATCGACGGCAAGTGTGTTGATAATAAAGCAATTTTGAAGCATGTATAAAACGGCAAAGCTGACCGTATAATAAATAGAAAAATGCCATCTAGCGGTCAGTTTCAGAGCAAACCAAAAAGCCAGCAAAACACACATACCCGGAAATCATCTTAAGCAACGCCTTTTCTGATTTTTCATATATCCCGAACTGCATAAATCTATCGAAATATCTTCATAATATGGTATTGCTGTAACGTTGATAATATCCAAGAATCTACGAGACGCCTTTGTACAAAACCCAGACCAGTGATCCATTTAATTCATTTCAAATAATTTGCCTTTTACTCCCAATGGAATCGCTCTTCTCTGACATTACATGATCTTTAAAGCTGCGTTCCATGTGTAAGAATATTACCATGTTCCTGTTTCAGCGCTGGAACACCTGGCTCTTACACATGAGCTTCCAGCAACATACAAGGACATCTGCCCTTAGACAGCCTATCCTGCTGCAAATATTGACAGTAATAAAGTCAACATGGCATCCATTATTGAAGATCCTGGTCTTTTGTTATGATTTGTAAAGACATAAGACACGCCATTTCAAGGAAATGCTCTGGTTTACAAATCGACACTTATATATACATAGTTTATAGTATATATTTATATATTTATAGAATACATATATAAATTAGGTCATCATCGTCACTATGCAGTGTCAGCCAATCATTATCTCATTACAACAGTCGTCACGATATGGCTGAAATATTGCCGATGTGACGTTACATTTTAACTCACTCACTCACTCATTACAACAGACTTACACAGTCAGAGAGTCAGACAGAGACAGACAGACATTTTTGTGTCTTATGTTTATAAGTATATATCCTCACAGGCATTGTCTGTATATTTAGCCTAATGGTTGTCCGAGCCATCTTTGATGCCAAACTCTTAGTCTTGCCAGAATCCGATGACCTGGTGTTGAATCTCTGATTCGTTTTTATTAGGATTCTTGGTTTGTGATCAGCATACCGCTGGGTTTAATGAATAACGTTTTATAACCAAGTCATTGTTGTATCGTCCAGGTTCTAGTAACGGCCCAGGGGCGGTGGGGTAGCCTAGTGGTTAAAGCGTTGGCTCGTCACGCCGAAGACCCGGGTTCGAATCCCCACATGGGTACAATGTGTGAAGCCCATTTCTGGTGTCCCCCGCCGTGATGTTTCTGGAATATTGCTAAAAGCGGCGTAAAACCAAACTCAGTCAGTCAGTCAGTAGTAGCGGCCCACATGTGGTATATACGCATGCATTCCACATATCATTCTCTACTAGCTTCGGAGTTTTTACACCCACACTAGTACCATTCCCTACTGGTGAACAGAGGCACGTTTGAACTAAGTCCCTTGCCACAAAAGACTCTGCCACCTATGTACTGTGCGTCTGAGGATATTCTATGTACTGTACAACATCTGAAGTGACAACACCCTAAAAACCTGTAAACGTTGTGTCTATAGGCTGAAAAACAACCCGGTTGCTTGAGGATACGATCACAGCACACTGTTCTGCCTTAAGAACACTTGCCTTCCCTACACACAGCACCAAAGGGATGTTTTATATTGCTTCAGTGTTGTTTCTATGACTGTGTCAGAAAGCAGACAAATACGACTCCGTCAAAGACTATACGCCCGCAAGACTGGCTCTGTATAAGAACGTAGGCACATTGACAATATCAGAGGATTGTTATCTAAAGTGTCAAAAAAGAGACGACTCGGATTGGAAGTGTACAAGTGTATAGTATTTATTCCATGATAATGTAAACAAGTATGTTGAGTTTAGTTCGGGTATAGCTTCCTCAAGTACAGCGATTTCAGAGCTGAAACAATAGAAAATACATACCTTATGGATACAAACACGTGTTGCAACAACTCTCCATCATACATCACGTCACTTCATTCTTTATGTCAAAGAATCACTCACATAAACATCATTTCTCTTAGAAGCTAGGCAGAAAATACCCTGTAGAAAAATAGGATGGTTTTTAACTGAAACACTAGGCTTATCACTGAGTGACCAAAAATGGTTTCATACCGATTTGAGTAAACTTCCATCATTACTGCGGCGGTAATATAGGACATTGGCTCCTCGCGTAATGAATGAGGGAATCGAACAAGGGTCTTTCACCAGCGAACGTTACCCAACAGGCTACCCTGTGGAAGGATAAAGCTGACTGTGTTCACGCACCTGCAACTCCTCCCTGGAAGGCGGCGTTGTAGTCACACGCTACTTCGTTCCTGACAAAGTCCTCTCGCTTGTCAGAGTAGGACCCGGACTTGTCCGGTCCCCCCACTAACGCCCCAAATAGTGTGTGGGGGTTCGGGCCCGCTTGGCGCTGGTCGTTCCAGCCACAGGGAGCAGGCATCATTGGGCAGGAGCTTAAACAGAAGTCGAGTTGAATATTTAGAAGGATAGGTAAATATGACTTAATCATAAGAAATAACTTCATTTATATTCCTAAGTGCCTCATATGGTAGTTGAAACATGTAACTTTATATTTACACATTTATCCATTTGCTCAATTTAAATTGGAAATGTACATGTTAGTGAGCAACAGATGAACCAGATAGATTTCCCTACCCATTACCCATCTGTAACCTACCTTCCTCTGTGGTGAGGGCGTTGAGGGGTATAGACCCATCTGTAACTTACCTTCCCCTGTGGTGGGGGCGTTGTGGGGTATAGACACATCTGTAACTTACCTTCCCCTGTGGTGGGGGCGTTGAGGGGTATAGACCCATCTGTAACTTACCTTCCCCTGTGGTGGGGGCGTTGTGGGTATAGACTCATGACCCATCTGTGTAAGGGATGTTACCTTCCTCTGTGGTGGGGGCGTTGTGGGGTATAGACCCATCTGTAACTTACCTTCCCTGTGGTGGGGGCGTTGGGGGTATAGACCCATCTGTAACTTACCTTCCCCTGTGGTGGGGCGTTGTGGGGTATAGACCCATGTGTAACCTACCTTCCTCTGTGGTGTTGTGGGAGTATAGACTCATGTGTAACCTACCTTCCTCTGTGGGCGTTGAGGGGTATAGACTCATCTGTAACCCACCTTCCCTGTGTGTGTGGGGGCGTTGAGGGGTATAGACCCATCTGTAACTTACCTTCCCCTGTGGTGGGGGCGTTGAGGGGTATAGACTTATGTGTAACTTACCTTCCCCTGTGGTGAGGGCGTTGGGGGTATAGACCCATCTGTAACTTACCTTCCCCTGTGGTGGGGGCGTTGAGGGGTATGGACCCATCTGTAACTTACCTTCCCCTGTGGTGGGGGCGTTGAGGGGCGTTCTTTCCGAATCCAACAACGTAGCTGTGGCCAGCATCTCCCAGTGCGAAGTGAACCTGACTCATAGCCCACTTCCTGTACGCCGCAGGACTGAGGCCTTCTTCTGCTGCCATCAGTGCCGTGAACGCCATGTTATCTGCAGAGAATTTGAAAGGATTTTGAACTGCGTGAATCACAGTAGATGGATGTTGAAGGCGCCAAGTAATTTAGGGGGTAATCGTTTGATACCCTGGAAAAGTAATATAGGCGAAACAGGGTTCGAACCCTCTATCAATGGTTTCTGACTCATTTCAGGTACGCACATCAAAAGATAGGGCCTCTCTTGACCCTTATCTACATGGAACACCAGTGAGTGAATATGGCTTTCAGCAATGTTCCTGCCATGTCACGACAGGTGACACCAGAAATAGGCTTCACACATTGAACCCATGTAGGGAATCGAACCCTACTTTTCGGCGTGACGAGCGAACGGTTTAACAACTAAGCTATCCCCTTCACCCTAAATCATAATAAGGATGACCCAGGTAAGTACTACAGTGGGCAACTCATCGAACCAAGCCTGTTGAAGTGGTCGAGGGATTCTGGTTTATGATTAAGGCAGATTATTGAGTCATATCTTCGATATCTCCATCATCGATTGCTAGTTTGGGCAAATAATAACATTCATGCCTTGAGGTTTGCTTCAGGGGTTAGCATTTCAAGAACACGTAGACAGTGACCCGTCTCTGCACCTGTTCTAAATACCCCTTTATGGTCACGCGACACATGCCATCCCGCGGTCGTGATGACTTGCTACTTGTAAAGACAATTTTCACATTTTGTGCTAAAAGTGTTGATCAGTTGTTTTGGGGTAAGGGTTAGCATGTTTTACTCTACCATAACACCCGCCATATACCTATTGTCGGTACAAAAGTAAGTGTTAGGCTCCCCTAGAGAGAGGACTGTTGTATCAGGGTGAAATGTACGTACTGGCATACATGATGGCTCCCCACTGCTGTGTGTTGTTGTATCAGGGTGGAATGTACGTACTGGCATCTGATGGCTCCCCACTGCTGTGTGTTGTTGTATCAGGGTGAAATGTACGTACTGGCATATCTGATGGCTCCCCACTATAGTGGGTTGTTGTATCAGGGTGAAATGTACGTACTGGCATATCTGATGGCTCCCCACTGCTGTGGGTTGTTGTATCAGGGTGAAATGTACGTACTGGCATCTGATGGCTCCCCACTATAGTGTGTTGTTGTATCAGGGTGAAATGTACGTACTGGCATATCTGATGGCTCCCCACTGTAGAGGGTTGTTGTATCAGGGTGAAATGTACGTACTGGCATATCTGATGGCTCCCCACTGTAGTGGGTTGTTGTATCAGGGTGAAATGTACGTACTGGCATATCTGATGGCTCCCCACTATAGTGGGTTGTTGTATCAGGGTGAAATGTACGTACTGGCATATCTGATGGCTCCCCACTGCTGTGGGTTGTTGTATCAGGTGGAATGTACGTACTGGCATATCTGATGGCTCCCCACTGGTGTGTGTTGTTGTATCAGGTGGAATGTACGTACTGGCATCTGATGGCTCCCCACTGCTGTGTGTTGTTGTATTAGGGTGGAATGTACGTACTGGCATCTGATGGCTCCCCACTGTAGTGGGTTGTTGTATCAGGGTGAAATGTACGTACTGGCATCTGATGGCTCCCCACTGCTGTGTGTTGTTGTATCAGAGTGGAATGTACGTACTGGCATATCTGATGGCTCCCCACTGCTGTGTGTTGTTGTATCAGGGTGAAATGTACGTACTGGCATATCTGATGGCTCCCCACTGCTGTGTGTTGTTGTATCAGGGTGAAATGTACGTACTGGCATCTGATGGCTCCCCACTGCTGTGTGTTGTTGTATCAGGGTGGAATGTACGTACTGGCATCTGATGGCTCCCCACTGTAGTGGGTTGTTGTATCAGGGTGAAATGTACGTACTGGCATCTGATGGCTCCCCACTGCTGTGTGTTGTTGTATCAGAGTGGAATGTACGTACTGGCATATCTGATGGCTCCCCACCGCTGTGGGTTGTTGTATCAGGTGGAATGTACGTACTGGCATCTGATGGCTCCCCACCGCTGTGTGTTGTTGTATCAGAGTGGAAATGTACGTACTGGCATATCTGATGGCTCCCCACCGCTGTGTGGTTGTTGTATCAGGGTGAAATGTACGTACTGGCATATCTGATGGCTCCCCACCATAGTGGGTTGTTGTATCAGGTGAAATGTACGTACTGGCATATCTGATGGCTCCCCACCGTAGTGGGTTGTTGTATCAGGTGGAATGTACGTACTGGCATATCTGATGGCTCCCCACCATAGTGGGTTGTTGTATCAGGGTGAAATGTACGTACTGGCATATCTGATGGCTCCCCACTGCTGTGGGTTGTTGTATCAGGGTGGAATGTACGTACTGGCATATCTGATGGCTCCCCACTGCTGTGTGTTGTTGTATCAGAGTGGAATGTACGTACTGGCATATCTGATGGCTCCCCACTGTAGTGGGTTGTTGTATCAGGGTGGAATGTACGTACTGGCATATCTGATGGCTCCCCACTGCTGTGGGTTGTTGTATCAGAGTGGAATGTACGTACTGGCATATCTGATGGCTCCCACACTGTCATCAGGTGGAACGTTGTTGCATTATCTGATGGCTCCTTACCGTAGTGGGTTGAGAGTGGAATGTACGTACTGGCATATCTGATGGCTCCCCACCGTAGTGGGTTGTTGGGTTGTTGTATCATGGACTGCCGTGTGTGTTGTGGAATGTACGTACTGGCATATCTGATGGCTCCCCACCCTAGTGGGTTGTTGTATCAGAGTGGAATGTACGTACTGGCATATCTGATGGCTCCCCACTGTAGTGGGTTGTTGTATCAGAGTGGAATGTACGTACTGGCATATCTGATGGCTCCCCACTGCAGTGGGTTGTTGTATCAGGGTGGAATGTACGTACTGGCATATCTGATGGCCCCCACTGTAGTGGGTTGTTGTATCAGAGTGGAATGTACGTACTGGCATATCTGATGGCTCCCCACTGTAGTGGGTTGTTGTATCAGAGTGGAATGTACGTACTGGCATATCTGATGGCTCCCCACTGTAGTGGGTTGTTGTATCAGAGTGGAATGTACGTACTGGCATATCTGATGGCTCCCCACTGCTGTGGGTTGTTGTATCAGAGTGGAATGTACGTACTGGCATATCTGATGGCTCCCCACTGTAGTGGGTTGTTGTATCAGAGTGGAATGTACGTACTGGCATATCTGATGGCTCCCCACTGTAGTGGGTTGTTGTATCAGAGTGGAATGTACGTACTGGCATATCTGATGGCTCCCCACTGTAGTGGTTGTTGTATCAGGGTGGAATGTACGTACTGGCATATCTGATGGCTCCCCACTGTAGTGGGTTGTTGTATCAGAGTGGAATGTACGTACTGGCATATCTGATAGCTCCCCACTGCAGTCTGTAGGCGAGGCCGTGGGGGGTGTATGGGATGGAGCCGCCGGGCATCCAGTCCTGGTAGGTCTGGACAATGTCCTGCTTGTACTTGTCCTTCTTGGTCAGCTTGTACAGCAACACCTGAACAAGGAGAAACACGAGTGAGTGAGTATGGTTTTATGCCGCTTTTAGCAATATTCTAGCAATACCACGGAGGGGGACACCAGATATGGGCTTCACAAGGAGTAACAAGAGTGGGTGAGTATGGTTTTATGCTGCTTTTAGCAGTATTCCAGCATTATCACGGCCGGAAATGGGCATCACAAGGAGTAACTAGAACACGAATCAACTTCCCAAAACGGCATATGGTGTCTAGTGGACTAGTTTGTGTTTAAACATCAAACATATATCTGTGTAAAGTTCAGGGTAGTGTCACAAGTAGCAACAGAGTTGAAAAAAGTGATTGAAAAAATCGTTTCCCTGAACCAGCCGGTCGAAAGTGAATGTACGCCAACGTGTGATGGCGTTTTGACGTGAAATAACCAAGAAATGGACATCGGATGTTGGAATGTCTGTTGGATGTTGGAACCATAGTTGGGTGTTTGACCTTCCGGTTGCAGTGTTTCGGTGACGGTTTTGAGGCAGATACCGCCATGACACCGTGTGGTGTTTTACAGATTTTGTGTGTTTACTCCTGATCGCCTGGTACATTTGTAGACCTGAGACGAGCGGAATTGGAATTCGCCATGTACGGCAAAACTGGCATCACTCGATGAAAAGTGAATATATTGACTTTGTCACTAACTGAAAATGTCTGCTTTGACTGTATATAGATATTATTATTATTACCAAATCTTCTAGTGTTGCTAAACGGACTATTTGGTGGAATATTCTTCTGACATACAATAGACATTGACCTCAGGTGAGAAGGTAAAGACATAACCAACACGTTGCCATGACAACTCACTGTTTCTCCCGCCTGTTTGTCATCCCAGGAGAATCCCCACGCGGATCCGTTCTGGTGGAAGTTCTCAGCCGCAGTCAGATACTTCTGTTCCTTGGTGGCCCAGTACAGCCAGGCGCCACCCCACGCCAGCTCGTCCCTGTAGCCCATTGACCTGGTCAGGGAGCAGGGTTAGTTCATGGTGAGCAGTAGATGGATAGACGTTGTCCGTCTACTGTCCGTCTAGTTCATTATTTCAATATTTGACAATATTCTTATACTTAATATCTTGTCGCTTTCATATGGAGATAGCCTGTGTTAATCGTTCATTTGTCACGCTAGTTCGACCTCCAGTATGGGTAGATGACTGCTGCCAAGTGTCCCCATAGTGCTGTTGAGGGCGAGGAAACCGTACTGAGTGATGTAGCCACACACTGTTGGACACTGTAGGATGGCTAGTATGGTGGTTACACCGATCGTTGGTTGGTTGTTTAACGCCGCATTCAGCAATATTACAGCTATATGGGGGCGGTCTGTAAATTATCGAGTCTGGACCAGACAATCCAGTGATCAACAGCATGAACATCGATCTACGCAATTGGGATACGATGACATGTGTCAACCAAGTCAGCGAGCCTGACCACTCGATCGCCTCAGTCGCCTCTTATGACAAGCATGGTTTGCTGAAGATCAATTCTAACCCGGATCTTCACGGGTCAGACCGGATTTGTATACATTGTGTGAAATGCGCGCTCCCAGTCGTGATTGTGTGGAAACGTAAACACGTGGTAAACACTTTTGAAGTGATGAATGGAATCGTTCCTGCCCTTGAAAATGTAACTATATACTACAAAGAGCTGAAAAGACAGCCATAATTGTTGCGACGTTATCATCCACGTATATATAGAGCGGCCATTTAGTCATGCCACAACTGTTAGACATAGAGTTACACAACCTGCAGTAAGCGGCCTAGAATACCCACCTGTAGTAGGCAGCGGCTTGGTTGATGCAGTCAGTGTAGATGCCGGGGTTGTAGAGGGCGAAGTCGTACAGCTGTCTACCGTGTTGAAGCAATGTTGCCGCATAACTACTATCTACGAAATACAATCAGCGATATAATCAGAGACTGAAGTTTCTAGTGTGTAGTAGAAGTATGACCTGGTATACGTATTTCACATTTAAATTGTTCTTTAGAATCTGTAAGTACCGAAGTCTTACGTAGTACATATAATTTTGTAAATTAATCCATCTTCTTTATATTTTCTGACTTGAGGCAGATATTCAAAAGGCTTGGCTTCCTGCTTTGATGTGAGGTGAGATAGAAAGGTGGATGCACGTGTGTATTTGTGTGCATGCGTGTGGGCTGGCGACCGTGCGTGGCTGCTTGAACTAACATGGCTACCCAACTCAGTACACGGACTCCAAGCCATCCAGTCCATTCAAGTGTCACCAGTCATCGTGTTTTAGTAAGAAGCAGCAGCTGATCGAACCATGGAGCCTCTGCTCTCCGGGCAGACACTCTATCCACGAGACCACGGTCTACAGTGATACATGATACAGTCATCCACGGTACTCACCTCTATCCTTGAACGCTAAATATCCAGCTGCAAAGGCAGCAGCGGTCTCGGCAGCGACGTCGGCGCCTGGACAGGAAGTGGAGATCTTGTAGGCTGGTCTGGCCATGGTCATGTCCTCTGGGCGGCCCCAGTAGGCGTGGTCTGCGCCACCGTCACCCACCTAGAACGTCGGGAAGGTAAGGTTATATATGAGTGAGTGAGTTTAGTTTTACGCCGCATTCAGCAATATTCCAGCTACATGGAGAAGGTCTGTCAATAATCGAGTCTGGACCAGACAATCCAGTCATCAACAGCATGAGCATCGATCTACGCAACTGGGATTCGATGACATGTGTCAACCTAATCAGCGAGCCTATCCCGTTAGTCGCCTCTAACGACAAACATGGGTTGCTGAAGACCAATCTAACCCCGATCTTCACGGGTAGGTTATTAACGAAGCATATAATCGTATACATTGTGTTGGTCAGGTCTAAGGAGTCCGGAAGAGGCCGTCGTATGGTATCTGCAAAATGGTAAACTGTATTATTTCTCAGAAGAATCCTCGTCTGCTATTCTAGAAGGAATACACACCTGAACATATAACTCGTTCTTGCTGACGTGGGCTTTCAGGAAGTAGTCGAGCGGCCATTTAACGCTGTCGTACATGAAGTCCAGCTGTTTGGCCTTCTGGTAGGCGTCCTTCCACTGGATCAGGCCCCAGAGGAGAACTGTGGTGGAGTAGGCCATAGGCAGCCCAAACTTCACATGATCACCGGCTGTAAAACACAGATACTGGCGTCAATTCAAACGTTCGTTCAGGCAAACAATATGTCCCCATAACACACTGAAACAGACCCCACCTGGCACAACACATGGTTTGGGTCACTGTTTGATAATTTGGGATGACAGCAGGTGTTCCACCCCACCAATATGACCCGCCACCCTCACAAGAAACCAAACAAGTATCTACAGAACATATTAGTGGAATATGCGGAATGATAATCAGGACATATGAATGGCTGAGAACGTTCATAAGATTACTTCGATTGTGGGGACAACTGTCTTATCATGGGCGAATCCAGGAATTTTTGAACCCCCTGAATCCCCCATTGGCTCCGCCAACGCAAAAAAAATCTTCAATGTGGTCATAAGTCATTTTCCAAAGGGGAGGGGGTTTCGACCCCCAACCCCACACACCCTACACACCCCTCTCCTTCTGGATCCGCCAATGCTTATACTTCGAATAATTTCTGAGTGCGGTGGAAGAGAAAACACACACTAACTATTACTGACTGACTTATGTGTCAGGTTGGGTGTATTCGGGTAAAGCAGATTGTTGATAAGTCATCATATCCATATGTCTGGCTAGCGCTTTAAAAGACTTTAGCGAAATGTCAAAAATATGTTCACTCAACTGACCATCATACCATCCCCCCGTGAGGTCTACTCCCCCGCTTCCCTTGTCCTTGAGGGCGGAGTCACCTCTCCACGGGATGCGGTTACTCGCCGGAAGTTTACCAGATCTCTGCGCCTCGTAGAACAGGATGGACTTCATGAGAACCTCGTCGTAGTTATACTTGGTTTGGTCAGCTGGGGACATATGAAACTCATTCCTATATTTGTCAGCAACTCCATATCCCAAACAAAACAAAATATTTGGTTACCAGCTTTCACTCCCCCCCATTCCCCATACATAGTTCCCTTTACGTGCTACTTATTCTTTACAGTTAGCCTCAAGAGACATGATGAAACCCTTCAGACTTAGGCCTACACAATGTCACACGTATCCAACACATCTATACAGAACACTTACGATCCCTTGGAATCTGGACCTTGAATGGATCTTTCCCTAGGTTGGTGAATTCGGCAGATGCGCAAGGTGCTTTACTTCCTGAGTAGGAGCCGGTGACGGTTATGGACAGGGAGGACCCTTTGTTGATGATACCGTCGTACGCCTTGTTGACGATCTTGAAGTGGGTGCCGTCTGTGTTCTTTGATATCATATCACCTTGCCATTGCTGCCAGACGAATCGTAGAGTGAGGGAGTTAGTGAGTTTAGTTTTACGCTGCATTCAGCAATATTCCAGCTATATGGCGGCGGTCTGTAAATTACCGAGTCTGGACCAGACAGCGTAGAAAATCTAAAAGCTAGCAAGTACTGTGCTTGTAAGAATGTCCATAAACACCAAACTATCTGTTTCAGATAATCATAATGATTCGTACTTTATGATTCCGGTAATCATAATGATGCATACTATCTGTTTCAGATAATCATAATATGCGTACTATGATTTGTTTCAGATAATCATAATGATACGTACTATCTGTTTCAAATAATCATACTATGCGTATTATCTGTTTAAGATAATCATAATGATGCGTACTATGATTTGTTTCAGATATTCATAATGATACGTACTATCGTTTCATACTATAATCATACGATACGTACTATGATCTGTTTCAGATAATTCATAATGATACGTACTATCTGTTTCATCTGTTTAAATAATCATCTATTTGCGATAATCAGATGCGTACTATTATTTCAGTCATGCGATATTATGATGCGTACTATCTGATGCGATACTATGATGCGTACTTTTCAGATAATATAATGCTTATTATCTGTTTGAGAGATTCAGATAATCATAATCGTATTATCAGTTTCAGATAATCATAATGATGCGTACTATCTATTTCAGATAATCATAATGATGCGTACTATCTGTTTCAGATAATCATAATGATGCGTACTATCTGTTTCAGATAATCGTAATGATATGTTGCCTGACAGAACTAAAAGACGCCACTGGGATGATGACAATGGCCTCTAAAATAGTTTTGCTTCAGTAATAAAGACATTGTCTTACATCGATTTACGTAGTTTGTGTTTGTTTTAATGACATTTGTTGAAACTGTCATTTAGAGTCTTGAATTACCGAAAATCCTGTGATGGCCTCGCAGAAGGTGATGTCTAGAAGCCAACCGTCGATGGTGTCTGTGGCCTGGACGTTGAATGTACCCTCAAACTTCCCCGTGTTGTCCTTGATTCCCGACAACTGTACCTTCAATCCATGACTGCCGGCGACAAAGGCCGCCACAAGAAGTAATTGCCACATCTGTGTATAACAAAACAATTCATCCAGTCCTTCAAGCTGCTATTTGATTATGTGGACATATGTCAGCTGTAATTTGAGTCCTTTAACTTTCTGGGCCTAGATTTTCGAAGCTCTCTTAGCGCTGAAATAGTCGTAAGTGCCATACCTTAACATTAACTTACGACTATCTAAGCGCTAAGAGAGCTTCGAAGTCTGGGCCTAGGTCTATAGGCCCAAATCGTGATTTTTCACCAAACATGTTTGGCTAGTGGGTGCGGGACTATCCACGTTCTTTGGTTGTATAACGCCATGAATCAGCAGTATTCACTCATCCATTTGCACCGTATCCATGGATATTTGTAAAATTGAAGATACTTTCTTGTGAACACGGACAACGTGATCTAATCTCATTTAATATCAATTCACTAATTTTTCGTTGACATTCAAATGGTTATCCAAGCTAAAACACGTTCATATTGAAGTCTCGTACCAAGTTTGTTTCAATAGGAGTAATACACGTGTATTGAACTGGCCTGAATATAGAAATAATAAGCCGTTTAATCATTTTGTCAAAAAAGGTGCAAAATGGCCGATTTGATTTCAAATTAAAATTGTATTAAATGTAAATTAAACAGGGGTATACACCCGCGAAGTATGACCCGAGGCTTACCTTTTGGCGAACCTCTGATAATTGGATTGTAATACATTGATACGTTCAGCACTGCTTTTACCAGAGATTTCTTATGATTAATTAAAAGCTTTTGTCGAATTTCAGATGGTAATGTCAAGAGAGCGTTTTCAGTACGTACCCTGCCAAAGGAGTGTCCTGCAGAAACTGATGGCAACTCGGGACAAGGTGCTCGTTTCTTATCTTGCTTGTATGTAGCTGTCTGTACAAAGGTTAAATCAAGCCATCTGCATGTAGGTTGCTGAATAGATAACAAATAATCTAGCAGAATGAGTGAATAGTTGGATGAATAATATATTCTATCGCTTCTATTTCAGTAATTTCACCACTGGAAACATCAGAAATTGGGGTTTTATGTTGGGATTTGAACCAGTACCTCCGGCTTGGCGAGCGTAAACGTTAACTTCAAGACTAACTAACAGCCCCAATTATATCTACAAAATATTGAAGAATTTACCCACAGAAGACTTTAAATCCAGGTAAATGGGTTAAGTCAGGTTAAACCGTTATATTCAGGGCTGATATTTTGTCTGAATTGCAGTATAAAGTTTCAATGACGTTCACAATGATTGTTGCCATGTTCAGGTTCTCTATTAAAAAGCTACAATCTGACTACAAACGAAGCACGGTTTCCATACAGCACACAGAGGTTCTGTCGTCATCCAACATCCAACATCATATCCCAGTATTACTGTGCACAAGGTCAAGTCAACAGAAAGCCAGTCTCGATTTTCCAACGAAACATATTCTACTGGGCGTTAAGGGTGATAATTGTATGAAAGGATCACAGAAAATAAGGGATGACGCCATGCGTTAAAGGATCAACATTTCATGAGGCTGTTTACTTAACAGCTGCCCCACTCAGTACAGCCCTAGGTAGGGGTCAGTCATGACGTCTAATGGGGCTACTCAGTGGCTAGTTTTTGGTTCAACTATGACCATTGAGCGCGACATCTATCATTCAGGGCCTTCCTCACAGATTAATGTCAGATCGGACACCCGAAACTATTTCATTATATTGTATTCAATTTGTAGCCAATATAAGCCAACCAACTATCACCGGTTTGAGATAGTGACACGAGGATTGATCATAGACACAATTTTGGGCTGGAAGAAATATCTTGTACTGAACCATGAAATTCACGGGCAGCCAGTGGAGGGCCTTCAGGATAGGTGTTATATGCTCAGTTTGCGGCGTGCGCATTGCAACCCTTGCTGCTGCATTCTGGATTCGCTGTAACTTTGTGATCAGGGATAAAGGAATGTGGAAGAACAGTGAGTTACAATAATCCAGTCGTGATGTGATGAGAGTCTGCATAAGAAGTTTTGTCGTTTCATGGTCAAGACGATGGCGGATTTTACTGATGTTGTGAATGTGGAAGAAGCAAGTTTTGCCAAAATTCTTGACTTTTTCAAGGGACATGCTGGATTGAAATATGATTCCAAGATTTCTTGCAGATGGAGTGGTTCCGACATTGCTGTAGCCAATGTTAAGCGACAGACCTGCAGGCACTTTCAATAACTTCTGTTTAGAACCAAGTAGTGGAAATTCCGTTTTACTGTCATTTAATTTGAGAAAATTCAATCATCCATGATCTAACCTTGCTCACACAAGCTTCAATTTGACTGATTCTAGTAGGTGGATTCAGATGGCTTTATCGATATGTAGATCTGATTGTTGTCAGCATAGAGATCAAACATCAAACTGTGTTTCCTGATTATATCACCTATTGGAAGGATATATATGCTGAAAATCAAAGGCCCCAGAACTGAATCCATTGGAACACCAACGTGAACTGCTGTCGGAAGTGAGGTAACCTCGCCAATCTTGACAACCTGTTCTGGCTGACAGATAGGATTTGATCCAAGAAAGAACCTTTCCTGTAACACTGAGTCTTTCCTCCAAGCGTGAAAGCAGTGAGGTGTGGTCTAGGGTGTCGAAGGCTGATGCTGGTCCATTGCCCTCATGACGTCGTTATAGACATGATCATGTGCAGTCTCTGTGCTATGTTTTGATTTGTAAGCACTCTGAAAGGGTTCAAGCAGGTTGTTATTGAGTAGGTGTTCTTTCAAGCCTTGGTGAAACAATTTTCTCCAAACATTGATATGAGAGACAGATTAGATACTGGCCGGTAGTTTTTTTTTAACTCATCCGGATTTAAATTGGCCTCTTTAATGAGAGGAGTGACGACTGACTGTTTGAAAACTTTGGGAACCGTGGCATCCCTCAATTGGATAATGGACTGATGAGAGAATTCAAGCTTGCTTTAAATAGTCATGTTGGTATGGCTTCCAGGCTAGAAGCTGCTTTACCTTTGGATATAACCTGTCTTATTTTTTCCGGATAGGATAAGAAGAGTTCAGACAAATATGTACTACTGAAACATTGTACATTGAAAACCTGATTCTGCAGTGTACGTCTAATGTCAAGTTATTGACGTATATCCCATATCTTTGCGTATATCCCATATCTTTGCGTATATCCCATATCTTGGCGTATATCCAATATCTTGGCGTGGAAAAAACCCGGCAAATATGTTGGCTAGAGTACAGTTTGTATCCTGCTTCAACAGACTGTTCAACAAGGAATATATGACAACAGAACAAGGACGAATGACAACAGAACTATTTTTTAGACTTCAGGGAAGCATGCTTATCCAATATTCATGATAAGCAAGTAGTCAACACATCAGTCTTATAATCAACTCCACAAGAATCAGAGAGTGACTGCAGCAGCTCAGAAGATTCAATGTCATTGGAAAACTGTCTAAAGTCTATATTTCAAGTCTTCCTGTAGCTAATTTCTTTTCTCACTTGCTTAGGTTTAGTAAATTTGATAGAGCACTGAATTAGTGTCACTAACATCAACGACATCCAGAATATCACAACTATCCTTGGTTATGACTAGGTCTACTGTATGACCTGATCGATGAGTTGGACCAGACATATGCTGTAGGAGACTGAAAGATGTCACAAAAGGATTTAGCAACGGAGTCAGACAGAGAATCAATATAGGTTATCACGCGAGTGTGTTTTGGGATGGTTAATATCCTGCATAAGGAATAATCATTGTATTTATTCCTAATGCAGAATATTAACCATCCCAAAACACACGAGTGTGATAACCTATTTATCAAACAATGTCATTTTTGCTTTATAATTAAAAAAAATGCGATTTCAAATGCCACAAATCATGAAACTAAACTTCGTGGAATGTCTGTGACCTCACAAATATGTGCGGAGTAATATGTTACGTCACAAGCCCGGTGACATAATTTTCTCCTGATCACTCAGCGGTCATCTAGTTCCCAGTAAGCTTTCATGCTAAAGCACTTATTGTTGTCAACAAATCTTAGCTTACGTTGGAAAAATAACAACAAACTCACGTGGAACTTCAGAAACCTTTAATTAACCTTTTGAACAACCAAATACGCATTAATGTTAGCGTCACACTGTGCACCGTTCTTTCGCTAACACTGACAGTTGGTCTGGGAACTGATGTTGGTATCTTCGTAAGCCTATGAATTTCTATCTTCGCTTTGTAATCTACTCCATCTTTCAAAACCAGGCATGATTTTTCTGGGATCAAAGCACTGCAATACCGTAACCAGGTCCGTTAATCCGGACACGACCGCCGACCCTTGACGCCATGTTTGTTTACACTGTGAAAGTAGTCCCTGAAATTTGCATATGGCCTCTCTCATTTGCATCGATATCCGTATATGACCCCAACGGATACCGAAAATATCCGTTGGCTTTATCCTGCCGAGAACACTATCCATTGTATGATAAACATGGATATTGAATTCCCAAATTAGAGTGAGTGAGTGAGTATGGTTTTAAGCCGCTTTTAGCAACATTCCAGCAACATCACGGCGGGGGACACCAGAAATGGGCTTCACACATTGTACCCATGTGGGGATTCGAACCCGGTGTTTTCGGCGTGACGAGCGAAAGCTTTAACCACTAGGCTACCCACCGCCCCTTCCCTATTAGAACCAGATGACCTGGTTCCAGGGCAGTTTTGACAAGGCTCGATTAACATTCAGGAACACTTGCCACATGATTTTGGTCGCTGCAACTTTGGGAAGAAAACCCATTCCAGCTGCGTTATATACTCATCATCGTAATTTATGTGATCGTTTAACAACCATTTCATTACCTAGCTCTTCCCGGAACATTCCTGCATCATCGATTTATGTGTTAAAGAAAGGTTTGTTCACTAAATTTCAAAGAAATAACAGATGTGTTACAAAAATATAGTTTTGTTTCGTTTTCACGATGTTCCTGCTAATGTTCAATTATGGGAAACATACCTGTATCTCTGGAACCGTTCAAGATATTGGTATGAAATTTTGGATTCTTCTTCGTTACACAATTATGAGACTCTCTTGTAAATGTGAAGTGTTTCTGGCAATGGGATCTAGTACCGGTATGATTAAGGTTAAACAGAAACATAACTTGTAACTGCCCAGTGTCAGGTTACAATCAAGAAGCTTAATAGCAAAGCGACACTATATAACGGGGTTTTGAATACCCTTCATTCCACGTTAACACACACACACACACACACACACACACACACACACACACACACACACACACACACACACACACACACACACACACACACACACACACACACACACACACAGACACACACACACACACACACACGCACACGCACACGCACACAGACACACAGACAGACAGACACAGACAGATAGACAGACAGACAGACAGACAGACACACAGACACAGAGAGACAGACACACATATATTTGAAAGTGTCATATCATAGTGGTTGATTCTAGAAAATAGACCTGGAAACTAGCAGGTGTTCAGAAGTAAGTATCTAAGCCGTACTTTACAAGTACAAGATAAGGCACGAGTCAGGCCGAAACAATCACAATATTGGCCTTGGAATGTTGTAACCCGGGGTTGGGGTCTGACCTTGACCTTCAGCGACACCGGCGACGACCTAGCCGCCATGTGAACATATCAAGGCATTCCCCTCGAACACGATGAAGGGACACCTGCTTTAGTGGCGTTAAGCTTCGCCCCCTCCGCCTGGATGTGTGAGTGAGTTACAGAGATGTGAGTGAGTGAGTGATAGTGGAAAAGCAAAGGGGCAGGTGAGGGAAGAATACTACCTCGTCTGGATATGGCATGTCTGAGTGTGTGTTGTAAACTTCAGACGACATTTTGGCCGATTTGAATAACTGACTATGTACAACTGCAATTGTTCCAACGATCAAGACTGAAGCTTTTGCAGTTTGTCGTGAGGGATGAATGTGTTGAAAATCACATAATTAAACTTTCATTATTTGCTCATACCGATAGTGAGGCTAGGTCTTTGACAACGTGACTTGTGTCTTTACACAATGCCGACAGCGGGCGAGATACTTCTCTGACAACACCAATGCATGACAGCCTCCTACACAACATCACGCACCTCAGTCACGCAGGGTCAACATTCTTTGCATTAAAGACACAAGTCACGTTGTCAAAAACCTAGCCTCATTTTATATATATATATATATATATATATATATATATATATGAATATGATATATGATAGAGGACCCGTGTTGTGGCTTGTTTGACACATTGTATGGCCTTAGTGATTGTAAACCTTAAAACAACGTATTTCTGTTCCAACATAATTTGTTGATAATTCTTGTGATTTCGCAATTCAATTCTGGTTTCGATTTCTTGATGAGCATTTGCATTTGGAAACCACCCTGAAACGTTGTACAGAAGGCTCTGACGACGCACGGTGAAGTCCCAGTAGGGAAAGTTGAATGAAATGACGTTCTGCCATGTTCGGGCACCAATCCAAACAAACACCCGTACCGCACGCCATGTCGTCCACCCTCTCCTGCAAGGGGATACGTAAGGAAGACAACCGACATACGAAACAAATTTCTTGCCAAAAGGCTACGGTACAAATATCCAGTATGTTTAAATTCCAAAAGACAAAAATGTTAAGCTTCAAACCCGTGAGTGCCACACAAGTCCTGGTTTAGGGACAGATCTCCTGTACAGCCATGTACTGTTGTCTCTCAACATTGCTGGCACCGTGATTCAGGCGTCTATGGCACCACAATTATCCAGGAACCTTTGTTCGTGGGTTCGATTCCCTCGAATTTCTAGGTTTGTCATCATCATACCCGTGCACCCCGGCGTGATATTGCTGGAATATAGCTAAACGCGGCATAAAACTAAACTCACTCACTTATACCCGTGCGTGTTGGTTTCGCCAGGTTGATAAGGTCCTTGACCTGTTTCATATGTCCTCACAGACGGACATGGGTATTTCCAGCTGACTCTCTCTCTCTCTCAATAACATCGGGGCGGTGGGGTAGCCTAGTGGTTGAAGCGTTTGCTCGTCGCGCCTAAGGCCCAGGTTCGATTCCCCACATGAGCACACTATGTGAAGCTCTTTTCTGGTGTCCCCCGCAGTGATATTGCTGGAATATTGCTTAAAGGGGCGTAAAACCCAACTCACTCACTCAATAACATCGCCTAATTACATATGACGAAATTAGAATTTCTGAGGTCCTTCTTGTAGTTATGCCATCGTTATCTATTTACTCAACCCTGCAGGCCCTTGCTATGTTCGTTCTTGTCAATCAGGTGATTTGCAAAATTTTGGAATGAAAGGGAAAAATAAGTCTGCTGTTTGGAAACCAAAATCGAATACAGGTTCAATACCAGTCGAGGTACTAATCTAGTTGACCATCTAGGTACATACAACCGTTGATCAAACGCCAAATAACTATGGAAGTATGGAATTTGAAAGATATTCATTACTTTGGACTGAACCGATGTTATTCTGATTTTGATACGAGTTACTGACAGGTAAACAGTGTGGAGGTCGCGCTGGCTATTTCATGCCTGCCAAAGTCTCGGGTTCGATTCCCGACATGGGTGCAATGTGAAGCCCATTTCTGGTGTCCCCCCACCGTGATATTGCTGGAATATTGCAAAAAGCGGCGTAAAACCATAGACACACTTACTCTTCCCTACCTGACAATTTCAAACATTACCTAGGTGTTGTACCAGGCAGCATTTACTACAGGCATGGTATTTCGTCTTGAGTTTTAACTGAATGAATTAACTGTTCACTTCTTGCATAAGACTGTAATGCATTGTGTAGTGTTAATGTTATGTACATCATGAAATTTGCAATGGGTGGTCGTTTTCTATACGTCGGTATCTTTGCCTATATGCACTAATTTCCACCTTGTGACCTTAACCTTTAACAAATGTCAATTCCCAGCAATCCTAGAAGAGATGTATAGAACGGAAATAGATACATCATTTTTGTGAGGGCTGTAGACCAAGGTCACATCTTATCAGTAGTTATGTTGTCCAAAGAGCAGGACAGAAATAACGTATTATCTGGCCAGACAGACAAGATCAACTAAACATCATGGTTTTAATTTTAATTATATGTTCTCTGTCACAAAACGATACCCTGGATTGTCAACATTCTGTTCTTGAATCTGGTTGCTGGTGGTTGCTGGTGGTTGCTGGTTGTCGTCAAATTTGAAATCCATTCAGCAGCTTGTGTGGGAGTGGCAAATCCCGGACGTGCATATTTATCAAATACATTGTTTGGATGTCAACTACTTTCGTATAAGAAACACAAGGTTTCGGACTAAATTCTTTCTCCTTCATCAGCTGAATGGATGATACAAAATAGAGACAAACTTTATGGATAACAACTTCTTTAGAAGTGAATGGATAGGGTACAAAAAGAGCTTCTATATGTATATGTGAGAAAACACAAGTAACAAGATGACAAAGTTTGACCCAATTGTTAATTGATGCTGTATGATAATAACAATATACAAATGGAAGCCACAAGTAAATTATTCTGATCGGTCATAAGCACTGATTGGTAATGGAATTAATAGATTTGGTTTGGTTTGTTGGGTTCTTGTTTAACGCCGCACTCAGCAATATTTCATCTATATGACGGCGGTCTGTAATAATCGAGTCTGGACCAAACAATCAAGTGATCAACAGCATGAGCACCGATCTAATTGGGACACGATGACATGTGTCAACCAAGTCAGAGAGCCCTATCCCGTTAGTCGCCTCTTACGACAAGCATGGGTTGCTGAAGACCAATTCATACCCGGATCTTGGTGCTTGTGACAATGGCCCGCAGATGGGTGTTGAAAGCCTTGCCGCTGGAAAGGTGACATCTGTGCTGGCTTTGTTCTCAGTGATGGCTGACAGGTAGCGTATGGTGATACTGATAGGCGATGGGGTATGTTTGGGTCATGGCTCGGAGTTCTGTCTCTTCAAAAGACCAGTACATGTGCTACAACTGTCAATACGCTCAGAGACATGTAAAGCCACTTGCCATCCTGATCCAGCAGTGGATTGAACCATCTGGATGAACAAGCTTCCCCTGTAGACCAATATCGAGTATCTCTATCAACACACTATTAATGACATATATTGTGACAGCCACAGGCACACTACTCTCACTGTACTAATATCAGCTTAGCTAATCCTCCAGCGTACACAAACCGGATGAGAGTGCGACAGGAGCATTGACTTCATATTGACCACGACTTGCTGACAGAGGCTTTGCTGACTGCAGATTTATGTAACACCCGGTGTTCATGGTAGGTCGTGAACCCAGGTACATAATTTAGTTTGTGACAACAATGACTCGATTTGTTCTACTGACAGTCTTTGGCGTTGATGGGGGATGTTAGGATGAACTGCTGCCGTTGTTTTTTTTGCTTTTTTTTACATGATATCCGGAGAGGGTGATATCATGATTTTGTTGGTTACAAAACCAACAGTGAACCAGTTATCAAATATATTCGAGCTTCATTTTTTAAAAACACTGGATAAATCTTCTAAAAATAGTTAATGATTTAAACGATTTTCAAGGAACTGTTAGCAACAGGGGGTGGGTTCGACTCAACCCAACAAGGTACTATAATTTGTACATATGTCACATTTGACCACTTTCTAAATGGCATTGTGTAATGTTAGCAAGAGTTTTCAAGACGTTTCCAAACGACTTCAACTCTGCAGTTATTACGGTTTAAGAAACTCTTTGGAAATTACAAATTATATATACTAGCCACATAAAGAAACTGTGCATTGTCAAAATATTATCCCAGTTGATAAGTACGATAACAATGTCAAAGGTACATATAAACTTTAATGGAGGGATCCTGAGACCATAACAAGTCGGGAGAATTTCAATTGAAAAGTCAATCACAATGACGTCACGACTCCACAAGTCTTTGGAAATTACAAATTATATATCATGTAGCGTCGTTTTTGGATGGAACCCGATGGAATACGTCACCACATCGTCCACAGTAACGAATTAAATACGTCATCCCCACGTATAATCTGAGGAATACTTATATTATGGGAAATTAGCAAACCAACATATTGTGCCCCAAATGCACGCCGCCACTTAAAATCCATTCTATAATATAGACAAAACGCCTCTGAAATGTGGCAATATTTATTTCATGCAAGATGTCTTTCGCGGATGTAAAGTAATCTATATGTACAGCGAGGCGTGGTTCAGGGGCACACATCTTTGTACGTTGTTGGCAGGGCGTGTGCAATGGCGAGGTGTTCCAGTGCTGTAACATACAACCATTGTTGTTATCTTAACGTACACAGTTACATTGCTTACCTCATCTTCTATGAAACTCAACGGCGCCTAGAGCTGCATGATAGCTGATACGGTGTCACCTGAAACCTCATTACTAGATGGGTTAAGGGGCTGTTAGCTGAACACATTGAATGTTCTTACAAATATACTGTTAACCCACAGATTGTAGCACTACACAGGACAATAACTGTTTGTTAGTTTTGTGTTTGTAACATATGTCCTAGAAACCAAATACACCCCCCCCCCCCCAATCATACCCCACTACAACTATTGCATTACCTTATGCGATGTTCCGGAAGAATGTGTACCGAATAAATGGCGTTATACCGACTACGGATAATTAGATAGTTACTCAGACTGTTTTAAACAGTCAAGAAAAAGGATTGGGCACAAGTTATCCAACTTAGAAAATCCCTCTCCAGATAGTTAAACAATTCATCTCACAACAAAGTACACACGTGACAGACATAGGCTAGGATATGTACAACAGAAGTTAACTGAGAAAACGTTTTGTTTGAGAGATATAGATATGTACATATTTGAAACCATTCCGAGGACTTCGATTTAAACACAAATTAAAACATCATTAATTTGTGTAAATATATTTGTTATAGTCAAATATAAACACAATGCTAATTGGAACCGCGTCCCGTTCCCCCAGCACAAACCTACACAGCGACACATTACTGACTACGGTTCCAAGCGGCTTCAACCTAATTAATTCACTCTGTCCATTTCTGTTTCTATTCATGTTGCCATTATGATATTTATTCAGTATGTGCCCCAAATATAAAAAAATGTACCTGCGGTAGAGGCGTGCATGCCGGCGTTGTAGTCGCACGCCACCTCGTTCTTGACGTAGTCTTTTCTGTCGTCTTTGTAGCTGTCGTCTCTACCGGGGCCGCCCACCATGGCGCCGTACAGGGTGTGGGGGTTGGGGCCCTTCTGGGTCTGAGACTCCCACTCACACGGAGCGGGCAGCATGGGACAGGAGCTGATGAAGGGAAATTTCGGTTGATATGGTAACACAATCAGAATCGAACATTTCAAAAGGTACAGGTAGAATATACATTCTTCAGTTCCCCTTGACACCTGAGAGCAGTCTAACATGTATTAATTAAAGAATTTAAGGACCACTCTGTAGGAGTGTTGCACATGTGTCACTAGTACATAGTTATAGTACCGCCAATAGTGCCCACTAGTGCCCTTGTTTAACCAAGTGGTGTGATGGAATACGGACAGCAACTACTGGATGAGCAGGTTGTTTCACCTGTACTGGATGTGTCTGACACTTGGTTAGGTGAGCCCCAGCGCCGGATTACCTTCCAGCGCAGGTTGCTATACCAACCGTGTTCCAGCCACCCTGGTCCGTAGTTGTAACGTCATCTTGAGGGGATATTGGTTCATGTTCCCATGGTGGGGCCGTGTACCCCGAACATCAGGGTTCATGAAACCATGAGGCTGAGATTGAGAGGTGTTTGTGTTTTGGCTCTGTGCATCACGTACATCCAATGTTAATTATACTATACATTATACAATGCCGTTTCCCTGTAAGGTGAGGTGAGGTGAAATTGGGTTTAACGTCGTGCTTGAGAATATTTCGCTCACGTACATGCGACGTACATGCGTGTGTATGTGTATGAGCGGCTGCTTGTACTAGCCCAGACTTAAGCTGGTTTTATAGTGCTAGCCCACTGAGATACCATGCCGCAGTGAAGCATGAATAGAGAGTGAGTGAGTTTAGTTTTACGCCGCACTCAGCAATATTCCACCTTTATGGCGGCGGTCTGTAAATAATCGAGTCTGGACCAGACAATCCAGTGATCAACATCATGAACATCGATCTGCGCAATTGGGAACCGATGACATGTGTCAACCAAGTCAGCGAGCCTGACCACCCGATCCCGTTAGTCGCCTCTTACGACAAGCATAGTCGCCTTTTGTGGCAAGCATGGGTTGCTGAAGACCTATTCTACCCCGGATCTTCACCGGTCGAAGCATGAATACCCCACTCAGACACATTATACTGACTCCGAGCCGACCAGTCCTTGTTGTACCCATTAATGCCGAGTGCCAGGCAGGGACCAACATGTACCGTATGTTAACGTCTCTTGGTATGACGCGGTCGGGGATCGAACCCGGGACCTTCCGCTTTCCGGGCGGACGCTCTAACCTGTTTTTATCATATTTTTATAATACCTATTTCACAACATGGCGTGTTCTCAGTCTTCTTAATTAAAGCATTGTCTCAGTTAGTCGATACCGCATCATGCTGAACAAAGATGTGTCAGTCCTGAGTGAGATCATTGGTTTCACATTGCGCTCACGAGTCATCATTGAGTTCGACCTGTGTTGGCCTCATGACCCCTCAGTGATACGTCTACCAACCTTGCTCTGTGATGTGGCCTCTGTGGTGGATTGACGCCATATCCGACAATAAAACTTCTTCCTGTATCGCCAAATGCGTAGTGGAGCTGCGTCATGGCCCACTTCCGGTATGAGTCTGTGTTGAGCCCAGCGTCAGCGGCCGCCAGGGCGAGGAAGGCCGTGTTTGCTGTAGGCAATGGAGAGTGTTTTATGACCCCACATATCAAGCATCATGCAGCTGTTTACACAAACGTAGCCGACCCAACCATCTGACTTTGTCGGTATGTGAGTGAATGAACATGTCACTCAGACTGTTATGTAGATTGTCAGACTAGTGGTTGTCAGCGCCAGAATCAGCTCATGAATCAGCTAAGATGAGCTGCTAAGTCTTGTATTGCAAATACCTGTACCTTATCCCCCTTTGGTCATTCATGACAAGCAGTGAGCACCATTAAGAAGTGATTGATATGTTTTGTCAATTTATCAAGTTGTATTTCTCAAAAACATTAACATAACACACTACAAAATGATGGCATTACGGGCTGTAGCGTAGTCTTGTGATTAAGGTGTTAGCCGCGCTGAAGACCTTTGTTGGAAGGATCACTGGTGTTCTCCGGTCTGATATTACTCGATTATTGCTAAAAGCGGAGTAAAAACCATTGTCATTACCAATTTGGAACTACCGGGGTCAGTCTGTGACGTGACTGATTGTGCTTCCTTGCACTCCGTGGACAGGGATTGATGTCCATGCTTTCAGTAGACAAGAATTTTATTGTATTCAAGGCCTCCGGCCCATATACAGTTTACAGAGTTGTACATAAGTATTTTTTACAAGTAAGTTGTAACTAATGTTTCAACAATTCATCTCTTAACTTACTGGAGTGTTTTATAAACAATGACAGATTTCTAATATTTTGTTCATTGCAAGAACATAATAGTGATTTAAAAGCTACATCGGGGGTTTTGACAGGTAATACTCCGGTATATATTTCTTTCTAATGTCAGCATAAGATTTACAGATAAAGGTGAAGTGAATTTCGTTTTCTACTGCTTCTTTGCATAATGGACAGATTCTTTGATTCCTCTCGATGGACATTTTTCTTCCTTCATTTACCATTAAATTTAGCAAACCTAGTCTGAATTTTATAAACGTATACCTTAAATCGTTGCATCTAAGTACAGATAAATATTTTTCTGGTTGTAGTAAAGTTTTAAATGTCCTATAACAATCATAGCGTGTGCTATTATTCAAACGTGATTGCCATTCCTGGTGATACATATTAATAGCTCGATTGCGAAAATCATTAATAAAACATCGATATGACCAACAGTTTGGTTTAACCAGACATACCCATAACCATGAGAAAATAATAAATATCTTAAACTTGATGCCCACGTTACTTTGCCAATACTATCTAAATGAACCAACATATTATAGGACAGTTTTGGAATACGATGATTAGGCATGTTAAGAATTTTAAGCCAGTATTTTAAACATCTTATCTGTGAATTTATGTAAAGAGGGTATCTCCCGCACTCCCCATACACCATAATATTTGGTGTTGACGATCCAACTCCCAAAAATCTTTTACATGCTAATAAATGTATTTTTTCTAAACAATCGAAACGTTGAAATCCCTATATTTCTGAACCATATAATAAAATTGGTTGTATTTGGGCATCAAAAACTTTGAAAAATAGACCTGGTGTTAACATTCCAGTCTTGTAAATAACCGGTATTAACTGGAAAAGAGCTTTCTTAGCACGTAGGGAGAGATCATAAATACTTTTTTTCATATTGAAGGTATGATAAAAACGAACACCGAGGTACGTGTAACAATCAACTGTTTTCACAAGTTGATTACCAAGAAACCATTTATCTTTCTGAGAAATGTGACCACCCTTCCGAAAAATAACTACATTGGTTTTGTCAAGATTTACTGAGAGTTTCCATTCCTTAGTGTAATTATCTAGAATGTTAAGTTGTCGTTGTAATCCCACCACCGTATCTGATAGTAAAATCACATCATCTGCGAAGAGAAGCATTAAAATTTCCAGGTAATCTGGGAACAGTTGAATACCATGTTTTCCATAAGAAACAATATCATTATATAATTCACTGATAAAAAATGAAAATAGGATGGGACTGAGGATGCAACCTTGTCGCAAACCTATAGGACAATCAAAATAGTCTGTTGTACCCGTCTCACAACGGACACAGGACTTTATGTTTGAGTACATTTCCTTCAGCATGGAATACATTTTGCCCCTGAGACCAGTATCTCTTAAGCAGTTCCAGAGTTTGAACCTATCAACTGTATCAAATGCTTTTTGAGTCTACAAATGCAGCATATAATTTATGTTTTCTACGTGATAGACATTTTTGAATAATTGCATATAAAGTGAAGATATGATCAGTCGTGGAGTAGTTTTTTCTAAACCCTGCTTGTGTTTCTGGAATTTTATCGCGCATATTTGCCCATTGGGATATCCTATTGTTCAATATTGTTGTAAGTATCAGTAAGGGATGTTTCCAGGATCGATTGTGGACCGACCGCCGCATTATAGCGGGACTATTGCTGACTGCGGCTTTAAACAAAACTCACTCACTCACAACGACGACCTCAAAGATTACCTGCATATCTGAGAGACCCCCACTGGAGCCTGAAGGCCAGACATTTGGGGCTGTAGTCGATACTTCCTCCGGGGAACCAGTCTACGAAGGTTCCTTCCACGACTTTCTTGTATCGGTCCTTCTTCGTCAGGTTATACAGCAGGAGCTGATTGAGAGAAAACACCAGCGTTAGGTTTCAAAAGAAACTGCCGACCCTGCACACGTTAATGAATAAGTAAATGAAACATGAATGTGAGTCATATTTAGATCCCGGTCCTACAGGGTTCTGTTAGAGGATAGATATAGTCTCTTTTCCTTCGTCTCACCTTTCGCACTTCCCGCTCTCAAGTTCGCATGCGCTGAAATAATTTCCGCTGCACTGCTTCAAGAAGACACGATTTCAAATACTGATTCACTCTAAAGCATATGTTTTGTTCAAATCCGTTTACCTCGTAGGAGGTAAATATCAAAGCTGAGTAATTATGAAGATATTCAGACTTTGATTAATCCTTAAGTACGTTTCGTATCAAATCAAACGGTTATATTACTTCTCTCTCGTGCAGAACTATATTCCAGCTGCCTTAAATCAGACTACGACGGGGGTTTTCACTTACATTGGCACCGCCGATCTTCTCATCCCAGGAGAATCCCCACGCTGTTTTGTTCACGAAGTGTTGCTCTGCATAGTCCAGGTAGGTCTGGTCTCCAGTAGCTTTGTACAGCCACACGCCTCCCCAGCTGTTCTCGTCCTCGTAGTCCTGAGATCTATAATGACAATGATTGCATTAATAATGATATTATTGAAGATGACGATGATGATTATTAGTTGATGCTATGAAGACTTTCTATAACTTGTACTCCATTGTCTGGCATGTCCCAAGTTGCGGGATGTCTGCTAGTCACATCGTAGCTCGCATATCATGGCCCTATACTAGCCACGGTCCATTTGCACAAAACAGTTCTAGCGATGCCTTAAGCGCAACTCCCAAACCTTAACATAGACTTGTGACAGTCGGAGCTAAACTGCCCTTGAGGAAGTGACACAGACTGCCTGTCCACAGACCCCCTTTGCCAATATAGATGAAATCCTTTCCTGTTTGGGGAATATTTGCTGTCACAAAACAGAGTAAGACCTGTGTACTTACGCATAAAAAGGCAGCGGCATTGGAAACAGTTGAGCTGTACTTCCCCTGGTGAGCCTTCCCGAACTCAAACAGCTGCTTGGCGTGTTTCAGCAGGGTGGCCGAGTAGGCGGGGTCTGACAGGGCACGAACAGAGAAAACACGTGTCAATATGTTACAGCTTGACGTGCATTTATCAGTTTGTCCAACTATTAACTGTTTCGTTGTCACTTTTGAAAATTACTTTAAGTCGGAGGAACGGTTAATTTCGCTTTGTATTTAATATAAGATAGAAAGATACGTTTTAGCCATAGATATCGATGTTGTAAATTGCTGTTGATTCATCAGCTACACGGTCGCCATCGGGAAGTGACGAAAACATTTACAACTATTGTTGGCTACAGTATGTTATCTCTCCTTGGACGATTCAAGTTCAGGAATATTTGATTTCCCATGAAGCTGCAATGGCTAAGAAGTAACTATTTATCCGTCACATAGATGGGAACAGACTTCTCATTTGCCAAAACCTTCTCTTAAGTCGAACTTTCCACCACCATAATTAATGTTACAGTAATATTATGTTGGGGAATGCGTAAGTGAGCATACTCAATATAATGCTGGGAATCGAACCCTGGAGCATGACGAGCCATCGCTTTGCCCAATAGGCTATCCATCTAACGTTTGTACACGGGCAATTCAGATCGGTTTAATCCTACCTTTGTCTTTGAAGGCCATGGATCCAGCGGCCATGGCTGAAGCTGTCTCCATGGCCAGATCTGACCCTGGACCGGATGCATCAATCTTGAAGGCTGGTCTACGTCCGGTCATGCGCTCTGGGCTGGTCCATGTGCCGTGGTCAGCACCGCCATCTCCAACCTTCATAATCATTTAAGATTTTGTTAGGATGCAAAACAAACTTCATTCTTTCCATATGTTGATATAAGGTTTGGTCGTATTTTTTGAAATAAAAGGTCAGGTATAAATTTAAACAGAAAAATGCAAATTCCAACTCTTTCAAATGTTCCAAAATGTACAATTCCTATTGCCATGTCTTCCAGATGCCACTATAGCCACTGCATAAACAAACCACGGAACATTTGAAATCAGATCAGTATTCACACATACTTTGACACAAGTCTATATTTAGATGGGTTGCCAGTCACCCTTTTCAAAACGAACGCCTTGCAATTACCAGCTTACGACAGTTTTATAAATGACTGTTATATCTTCGACGTTGACTAAGGTAAACCTCTATACCTGTGCGTATAGCTCGTTGGGCTTGGTGTGGCACTTGAGGAAGTAGTCCAGCGGCCACTTGATGCATTCATACATCTTCTCCAGTTGACCACTCTTCTCGTAGGCGTCCTTGTATTCAAGCAGACTCCACGTCAGGAGGGTCGTGCTGAACGCCATGGGGAAGTTGAATTTGACGTTGTCGCCAGCTGAAAAAGTAGCGTCATAGCGCTGTATCAGACCAAGACACATTGTCCTGAGACAATCAAATTCATAAACTATTTCCCTGATATGTCCTACAATCCTCGGTATTGTGAAACATTCAGTATTAATTCATTATTCGATTCATACGTGTTTTTTTTTATCAAAGGATGGTTCGTAAGTTATTTTAAGTTCATTACAACAATATAACAAAATATGTATCACTACCATTATCAAAGGAGTGAGTGAGTGTGTATGGTTTTACGCCGCTTTTGGCAATATTCCAGCAACATCACCGCGGGGGACACCAGAAATGGGCTTCACTCAATCTATCTAGGCTACACCACAGTCCCCATTATCAAAGGAAAAGAAACATAAAAATATTGTGTTGATAGAATTTAGGAAGATTCAATCTGGCATGCACATGGGCAAGAACAGGTCGCATTTCTTACTTTACTTGTGTTTGTCGCCAATATGTTGTAAACGTGCAACAAGAATTAGGATACAAATGTTAAAGACAATGTGACCGAAAACGTAAAAATACACTAAATTTTCATTTAAACACATACTTTAGAAGACATGTCTTTGGTTTGCAGCAGCTGTTGCCAATAGATACTCACCGTCGTACCATCCTCCAGTGAGGTCCTCGCCGTTGGCCCCCTTGTCGTTGAGGGCGGAGTCAGCTCGCCAGGGGATCCTGTTGTCGGCTGGGAGTTTCCCGGATCTCTGAGCCTCGTAGAACAAGATGGACTTCATCAAGATCTCCGCATAGTTGTACTTAGTTGCTTGGGCCCCTGGCGACAGATAGTGGTTACACAGTCATCAAATAGTCATTGGCTTCACGTGGAAGGTCTATTCATGTAGTTAGGACCGCCATTTGCCCCCAGTCTCGTATTGAAACAGTCCGATATTGAGACATTCGCTGGATTTCACTTCTTCTTCATGTGGACGAGGTCGGGGCATCAGTAGGATGCATAGATACTTTACAATACTATTAAAATAGAGTGTGTAGGAATTCCTCTGGCTTTGCGGTGATGTGTCAATGCCCAAGCCCTTTAGAGGACGGGGAACACAAAGGATGGACTTTACATGTAAGCGTGTAAGCAATTGAACCGTAAGATCAGGCAGACAAACACATGCTGAAACCCCAATCCTTTCAGGTCCCATGATCAAAACGTATACTAAAGACAGTCTTAGATTGTCAATCACATAACTAAATGATATTCGTGTTATTGTCTTTACATGACGCTATTGCTAACATGTATACATTGATGTCAAAGTCAGTTGATAAATACAGAGGCACCGAGGGCACCTGTCGTCATAGGGACTGCTGTTCGCTGTGCAGAGTGGCGGCCCCTGGTCACGCCAGGAACCTAAGACTTTTGTAAAATGTGTCTGCTTGAACACAAGTTGTCATGTATGGTGGAATATTCAGCGACCTGTGCATCAACACAAGAAAACATGAGGAAGTACAATACAGTCATAAGTCACCAAACATACACGTGAACGTATCACAGAAGGTCACTGACCTGTAACAACAGGGGTAATAGGCAGCGTCTGTCCATCGTTGGTGACGTCGACGAGGACGGCAGTTCCGCTGGGATCGCCAGACCCACTGCACACGTTACCTGTCAACCGAACACAGTAATGGTCTCCGGCGTAATGGACACCTTTGGTCTTCCGGTTGACCATTGTCCAGTGTTTGGAGCAGCCTGAAGATGATCCAACTATATCCCCTTCATAGTTCTAAATATCAAAAGGTATACGTTTCTGTTACACAGCTATCGAAAATATAATGATACAAGACACACACGACCTGCTATTTGGTCATACAAGGCAATAGATGACAAGGTGTTATTGGCCCTTCTGGACAAAATTCGATGTGAGCAACACTTTTAGACATGATCATTTGAATGACAACCCGACACTTATCTTCAACCAGACATATATGTTCACTCTGAATAAAAAAACACAAAGTGCACTGACAGGATTAAATGTATTTTTAAAAGTCGATTTTATGTGATTTCAGGAACAATTTTAAGGTTTGAAAAAGTACAAGAGTGTGACTCAATCAGATCTTTCTGAGGGCGTTCAGTCTTAAATGTATTATTCGTACCTTGGAGGAATGAGGTTTAGCACAACGTTGGGCATCATTGCACGTGAAGCGAGGGTCATGCACGTGGGTTTATGTGCTGGGACAGCGTGTCACATTGGCTATCCCTCTCAAATATATTATACTGATACACAACAGACCAGTCCAGTACACAACAGTGCAAGTGCCAGAGTAAGAAAGTGTGCTTTTTTAACGTCTTCAAGGCTGACAGTCCATCCAGAACACCACGGAAGCGGTGACTTGTGGGTACAATATGTACAGTATGTACAGTCTGTGTGTACAAGATGTAAGTCTATAGTCTCCTGGCCTGAACGTACCTGGATGCTGGTGACGTGTGTGTACAAGATGTAAGTCTATAGTTTCCTGGCCTGAACGTACCTGGATGCTGGTGACGTGTGTGTACACGATGTAAGTCTATAGTTTCCTGGCCTGAATTTACCTGGATGCTGGTAACCCGTATTGACAAGATGTAAGTCTATAGTTTCCTGGCCTGGACTTACCTGGTACTGGTGACGTGTGTGTACAAGATGTAAGTCTATAGTTTCCTGGCCTGGACTTACCTAGATGCTGGTGACGTGTGTGTACAAGATGTAAGTCTATAGTTTCCTGGCCTGAACTTACCTGGATGCTGGTAACCTGTATTTACAAGATGTAAGTCTATAGTTTCCTGGCCTGAACTTACCTGGATGCTGGTGACACCCACACTGAAGGTCATGAGGAGTTCCCAGGCCTGGATCTCCTCCTTGAGGTCAACACAGAACTGCCCCTCCCACTGACCATTCCTGTTCTGGATCAGCTCCATTGTTAAGGTCTGGTTGTGAGGCACGTGCTCCGGCTTAGTGCCCTCTGTTGACAATGAATAAATATCAAGTACGACAACTGCTTTATGTTTCTTTGACTAGTTGTCAACTGGCACACAAATAATACGCATTAATTAAAATTCATTTACCCAGTAATCGAGGGAACCAAATACAAGGTGAGTGGTGTCCTACTGATGAAATATTTCCAATAATAAGTCAGGCCGCTGATTGGATTTGCCAACACTGTATTGGGGAACCTGGATAATTACGTTAACGTGAAACTTACTTGTTGTTGGA